AAAAAAACACCTTATGGACATGTTACCAGGGTAAACAAAGCAACACCAGAGGGGGTCTTTAAACTGCCTTGAGCTTGAGGTATAAAAGAAGCTGCAGGATCGAGCATTCTGGACCCAACATATCAGCCTCTGCAGCTTCTTCATGAGCCAAAGTTTCCCAGATGCAGCCACCAGATGAATGGAGGAGCTCTTTAAGGAACATTATCCCTCCTGAGACATCCCAGGAGGCCAAGTTGTGTTTCACAGACTCTCATGACTACAGACAGCAGCTAAACAATAATAATCAACACTGGATCTCTGCATCCACATGAACACAGCAGCTAATGGAAAAGTTGTGAAACTCACTTGTAGCTCGTTGTTATTGGCCATGGTGCGTAGCGCGGGCAGCCAATTAGATGACTTCTGTCTGTCTCACTCACAGCCGGCGGATCATTGTCAGCTGAAGTCCTCCTAAATACTAACAGTCCACTGATGGGTGTCCTGCAAAATACAAAAATACAGTCAGCAGTCCGAGTGAAGGAGGCGCAGTGGGACGAGCAGCACGCAGCGCAAACATGGAGCCGCTCGGAGCCCCAGAGCAGCAGGTGATCAGAGGACGGAGCGGACCGTCACCTCCCGGCGGCACGATGTCAACTCCTGGACTCCGGTCTGCATCCCGCAGTGCAGGCTGTCCGGTAGCGCAGAGGGAGCTGCAGGCTGCTCATCGCCAGGGAGGACAGCGGGGAGAGGAAAACCCGAAACCCGGCAGAGGATTCACCGTGACGCTGTGTGCTCAGCGCGCGGCTCTGAGGCCATCCTCCCCGCGGCGCTGCGCTCCTGCTCGGCTCTGCGGAGAGCGGAGAGCCGGTGAGTGATGCTGCTGGGAGGAGGAGACAAGAGAGAAGTCATGCAGGGGATGGAAAGAAATGGACTTCCGGCTGTGGCCCTTCACAGTAAAACATGGACTGAGCACATGATCAGATCATAGACTGACATTTATATTAATATGGTCACACTGAACCTCTGTGTATTTCACCACCAACCACAAGTTTGCATCTAAGCACACTTTAATTCAGTTAACATGAGGATACATTAACACAGACTGGTAATAGTTTGGAGCATTATTATTATGCACAATAGAGCAGATGGAGAATTAATGCAGCCTTCAATTAAAACCAATAATCAGTGATGGAGACATCATTCTTTAGGTGGCCAGACTGAGACCATTACTCACACTGGGCTGGAACAGACACTGATATCTTGTCTTCAAGGCAAATCACTACAGTAAAAAGTGAGTTATGTTTAGTTTTATCATTTGCTTATGAGTGTGACGGACATGTAGAAGTTTACCAGAGGACTTGTGTATAATAAGCTTTTTTTCTGTCACTCTCAACTGATGCAAAACAAAAATCTCAAATGGTTGTGACAAGTTTTGCTAAACTATGATATAATTTAAATCACATTCAGGTGTAACTCCAGTTCTGTGAGTACATGTCTTCACTCCCGGCTGTGTGGTCTGAGCAGACTGCAACCTCCTCTTTCTAAATAAATCTAAAATATATTTTAATACATGAATGTCATTGTAGCATTCATACAAGAAATATGCTTCAGTACACACATTTACTGGGTCATTAAAACAGAACTGATTACAGCTTTGTTATTGTAAAACTAAATGTAAAGGGGTAACTTCCCCCATACGCTGGAGAAGATGCCCCCCAACCAGTGGGAAAAGGCCTCGGGGGTAATTGAACCCCACAAGTCATTTACACTTATTAATGATCCATATGATTAGATGTATTTTTCAAATGCTGACATTGCTCTGAGTTTAGCTGCAACATAAATGTTAAATAACACAGACAGAAAATCAAAGGATGTTTGACTGAGAGATTAAAACTTTCTAATTATTTTTAACTGAAACTACTAATATTTAAATCACTGACAAAAAAATGACACATCAGCAGTAGCTAGCGTTTAAGCTAGCATAATGCTATTAGCATAACATAAAGTCAGCTAGGTAGCCTTTTAGATGGATTATGATACTTTTAATGCATCTACCCATCATGTCCCTGTACTATATGATGGTGTACATGATTTATCACAATTCCAACATTAGCAAGTCGACAGTATTCAATTTATTTCATATCCAAAGAGGATTCTTCGTCCAGTTAGCCTGGTTTACTCTATCTACCTACCAGTAGTACTATACTTGCATTAGTTAACATTAAATTAAATTAACAATCAGCTTTGTTAAGCCTCAGAAAGTAATATAACAGATCACAGGCCTTTAACACAGACAGGTAACAGATGTTTAAACGTTCATATCAATAGTAAAAATTAATATATGTTGACTTCAACCTGGACAGATGCTCAGGTTCCGGTCCAGTTCTCCACCTGGTTCTCTCTCTACCTGTTGACACAACCTCCAGACTCTGAATTAACCATCTGGTTTCCCTGCTGGGCCTCTTCCCAGCCGGTTCTATCAGTTAGATGTATCCTTTACTTTCTATTTTTGCTTTAACTTTGTCTCTCAGGTCAATCAGTAACTCATGTCTGGTGTTTTCTGGTAGTTTGTGCTCCGGGTGTCGCTCCTCTCTCCTCCCGGTGCTGTTGGTTCTCCGTGGTTAGCCTCGTTAGCTTAGCTTGTCCGTTAGCCCTTCTCACTTCACATGCCTGTTAGTTTGGTTTCTAGTTTGTTCCCTGTGTGTATAAAAGTTCGCCTGCTTATTTCAGTAGTTGTAAATAAACTCCTCATGAGCGTCTGCACCTGAGTCCTCCATCAGCAAACTGTGACACCTATTGGGAACGTGTTGTAACTTCCGGTGCCAAACTCTACCAAAGTGGATGAGTGAAGCGTCTCTTGTTCACCGGGTTGATGGTTCAATTAACATTTCGTCCTGTGGGTGTAAATACAAGTTTAATTGTAAAGCCCAATTCAAATTGTTTAAAAAAAAAAAAAAAAAAAGTATGGATTTTAATTTCTTAATGTGACATCTGGAGAAAAATCCATTTCTAATATTACTTACCTATTTTTGTCACTGTTTATTGCTACACTGTCAAATTTAATTCCTGTCTGATACAGCCATTCATTCGTTTTCGTATTGAGGGATGCTTTTATTTTGAAACCACCACACTCTTCCTGCAGGTTCCTTCTGGCAACTTGACGCAGCTGGAAAGCGGCGCAGATCGCTGCGGCAGCCGAGCGCCCTCCTGCTTCCACCTGAGACCTGTTGATCTCACTGGAACATGTCAGTGTGTCACATTCCTGCTGGGAGAGAGAACTGCTGGCGGAGGCTGCTGGTTTAGTCACAGTTTGTACTGAGATGTATGCAGACTGCAGTGATGTGCTGCTTATTTATGCAGTTTTAGAAAATATTCAGGCCTCAGATCCCACACTGTGGCAGTAAAAGGAAAGTAAAATCTCTAATATTCCTGTTTTCTTTTTTAAATAATTAGCAGATGATAAATCATAAACATTGGAACCCCCTTCTTATAAAATGAGTGCATTGCCCCTTGTCATATGTTGCCATAAACTGAGCTACTGTATAGAAAAAACTCTATTGTGTAGCCACGACAACTCTTTTATTTCAGCCCACTGCTGTCACAACATTTCCATATCAAACTCCTGCGTCTGTTCTCTTCTGCAGCGTCAGATGGCTCATCTGCTGTCAGTAAGACCACCGCCGAGAGGAAAGCCGGCCAGCCTGCGCCGCACATGACTACAGTAGACGGATGGATGGATAGATGGGTGGACGGATGAATGAATGAAAGCCTTATTGCACCCGCAGCAATTTGCACAAGATGGCCGCAGCAACAATATGACCACTGTGTCGCTGAATGCTCTCGGACAGGAAGAAAAGCCCCAAAGGACTCTCAGGGAGGGGAAATGTACGAGTTAACGGTCTGATTCATTCATTCATTCATTCATTCATTACACTGGGAATGAAACACACTTCAGTTCTGCACAGGAAGACAAATGTAATCATGGATGGAGCTGCTCAGTTAGGATCCACTTACATATTTGAGCCTTTTACACATGATGTAGTGTGTATTAGTTTTTCCTGCTGGGTCTAGTTCTGGTCCACAAACCTAATTTGTCTTCTCAAAGTAGTGGAGTGACTTGTATTTTGTTGACCTCTGACCCCATGATGCACATATTTCTACATCCTGTATCG